TATTTCTACCTCTAGAAAAAATTATTAATATAATTGTTTTTCTTTCATATTTATAGTTAAATCACGTCAGATATTATTTAAATTGTAAATTATCATAGTATCTGTTACTCGTGACATTGATGTTATGCGCATTAATTATAATAAGCAAATATATCTCATCGTGATGACTATCTATGTGTAATCTTCTTTTATTTCAATGCCAATTTCAAATTTCCTATAGAGTAGATAGATATGATTGTTTGATTTTTTTTTACTACTGTTCATTTCAATAATGATCAAGCCTACGAACTCTCAGATAACTTCATAAGGATGGGTGAGGGTATCTACTATTCACATACACACAGCGACATCACACACCCACACCCTCACACCCCTGAAAGTAACTAAAATGCAGCTAGATAATCTAGAGGGGTCCTGAGCGTAGCCGATGCGACAGTGATTCACTCCTTTCTCAAAAATCAAGAATTTCCGCTTGGCGGCTATCATCGGAAGAAAGGTATCAGATAAAATTGAGATGCTAATTGCTGTTTTTGACGAAAGCCGAAGTCAACTGATGACTTTTAACGAGAAAATTGCAAACGAATGTGAAAGTTTTTGCTTTGCGAAAATTCAACAACTACACTGATGCAACTCGTCTAAAAATATGCAAATGTTTGCTTCTTCAAAATTTTGAAATTTCCGCTTTCTAAACAGTTGTACTTTGAACAATTTCCACTAAAGTGGCTACCTTTGGTGACAAAAACACACAGCAAACTTTCTGAATTAAATATAAAGACGCTTTTCTTGTCTAGAAGATTATAGAGCCAAACACAATTTTTGAAGTGTCGGTGAAAACTTTCGGTTTGCGAAAAACTAACATCTGCATTAGCTTAACCAGTGAAAAAGACCTCTCCATTTTCTTTTTATTCAAAACTTGTTTTTTTATTCTTCCTCAAGGCGCTTGCTTTCGAGCAAGTGTCGTAAGTGTAGCCATCTTCGAAGGTAAAATCTTAAAGAAAAACTTCTGAGTCGTTTGCATAAATGTCTTTTTCTTAGAACGTTGCAAGAAAATACATAGTTCGTAGGAGATTGCAAAACAAAACTCTCGTTTGAGGAGAAATGAACTGAACTTTGCACAATTTATTAACTTTTCCTAAACTTCGCCTTTTTGCATAAAACATGATTGAAAATAACAACAGTTCGATTAATTTTTATATAACTAGACAATACGACACCAGCTCTAATGTGAAAATATTTGATCCTTTCTCTCAATCTTAACCATCTGGAATCGCCACTCGTGTAACAAGATCTATACCAGTTAATTTGAATAGTTAGCGTTTATTTTAATTCAGCATTTTCGCTTTGTTCACCAAAGCCGATTTATGCTGAAAACTGCTTTATTATGGACACTCTTTGTGAAAGATGAACATTTTTGATTATTTCTCACAGGAATACAGTTCAATATAAACTCTTTTTGCAGACGCTACACTTTTCTCCGCAATTTCTCTTGTAGAACAGCCCTGAATTTTGAAAATAACTTATGCACTCCATGGATGTATCCCATTTAGAAAAAAATTGTAACTGACGTGTACCCCACTCGGGATCTTTTGTATCCCATTTGGGATCTTGCGAGTTGACAAGCCAAGTTAGTAGACATACATTGAATTTCCTTGATTAGATTTTCGTCTATAATAGTAGAAAGACAGTATTCTTTTGAGAGAATCTATTTGTATGATATTAGTCAATATGAAGATTATTATATTATTTAAATCGATTTCATTGACAGTTTACATTCGATTAAGTAAAAACGAACATATATGTTCTTAATGTTCTATTGTTTCATTAAATGTAAATGTTTATTGAAATATGCTATTTAATTAAATAATGAAAATATTTCCAATAGATTTATTTATTATGATAAGCTATATTATTTTGTTTCTCCTTAGTATACTTATCAAAATATCTTATATCGATATGTGAAAATTTTTTTTTTCTTTTTCTTTTCTCGAGAAAAAAAAACAAGCAAAAAATTTTTCTTTTCTTTTAAAACAAAAGAAGAAAAAATTGAAATAAGATTGATATGCAATAAAGACAATGATAAGTAACACAAAAAAAGATTTGTCGACCGGTTAGACAATATTTAAAGAAAGAAAAAAAAACAAAAGAAAACGATTACATATTTATAGAAATAAATAGACGCGTTATTTTCTTGTTTTTGACTTCATATATAAATCTATATGACAGAAAACATTCTCTGTCATATAAAGGTTTTTGTTTTGGACGGATCTATTTATTTTCTTTTTTCAATTGATCATTATGAATAATAAAATTTGATAAAAAATGATTAGTATTATCATTTGTATGATAATTAGTTAAATGTAAACGTCGTTTTATTGGAATTTGTAATAATGATGTTGAAAATGATTGTTTTTTTATTGATTTTTTATTATCATTCTTATTAAATATTGTTGATAATAAATTTTCTT